TGGTGTGCTGCTTCCACGTGGGCTTTGTTGCTTCTGGGCTTCAGGACAAAATTTAAAAACCATTTTAGTGCCAGATAATGCATGTGTCATACAATTCAATGGCTTGAGTATGTTAAAAAGCTGTGTAATCATCAACAATAAGATAAAATATGCATAGTTCAGCAATGTCCACATATGTAATTCAGTGACATGAATGCTATTTTTCAAGTTCTGTCTCTCTTCATTCTTTCTGGGTGGAATGACTGGTTTAGAGGTGGCTTTCTCTAGAAAAAGTCTTTCCAGCGTTCCCAGGGTGGGCGCAGCCCGACTGCTCACCACTTCAGCTTTCCCACTCACTGTCCTCTCAGACGACCAGTCCCTCTGGTTCTTTGAAGGGACGGTACCCAGGATCTCTTGATGGGTCCTGTCACTCAGGAGACAAGAGGACTGTGGGTCCCTGAGGGGAAGGGGGGGGGCGGTGGACAGTTGGAAGAGGCAGAGCCGTTGAGAAAGGAAGAGCCACAGGAAGGGTATGGAGGCTACAGAAGAAGGGACGCCATTCCACTAGAGATCAGGAACAGGGCCTGGGAAATCCCTCCTTCGGCCTCCATTGCTTCCTCTCTCCTAGCTCGTCAAACTTCATTTCCTCCTCAACTAGAAAGAGCTTTCTGAGGCCAGGAAACAGCATCCCCCCACGCTCTGGGCCCTCACGGGGGCAGACTGCAGGGTAACAACTCCTCTTACACACTTGGACAAACAGCTGTTGACGGTTCAGTGCCTACTGCTCACTTGTCTCCCCCAAACTCTAAACTCCCCCGTGTGGTTCCCCCCGCCCTGGGTCCCCTCTGTCCCAGGGGCATTATGAAACCACTTCAAAAATAAGATAAAGTTTCCTTACTCTACTTGCCCCAGAAAAGATAGGTTTTAAGTGGAAATCAATTCTCTTTCGCCCATTTTGAAATTTCTAATTGATGGGGTATTTTTTTTTTTTCATCGCAAATTGAAAACTCTTCAGTTGACTTCCCTCTGCTCCTCCAGGTTTCAGGACCTGCTGCTTCTCACCTGAGCCATGAAAAACCCTCGCAAAGACTGCATCTAATAATGAGTTAATAATGTCAAGGAGCCCCTTGACACCACCCTTACGTGCCATTTCCCACAGCTCCTGACCTCCCAGAAAATGTGCTATTTATGCACTTTTAAAAGGAGGGGGTGGGGGAGGGTGCAAGTACCAAAAATGAATGCAAAGATGAATACCAGAAACAAAAGGCTTATTTCACCTTTCTTATTGCAATCAACGGAATCTCTGCCCATATTTCCCAGCCACCCCTGCTCTCCAGCCCATCTTATTTAGAACTCCACTGTAACCCCTCTAACGCACCAGCAAATGGGGTGCAGTGGGTGTGGGTGCACCGCGTGACGTGGAAGGTCAAGCATTTGTTGAGCTTCTATTTGGTGACCAGGGACTACACTGATGGGCCCTCAATACAGCATCTCATTTAATCGTCACAGGCTTGTCCGTGGGCCTCCTTTTGCAGGCCCGAAAACGGGCCCAGAGGTTCACATCCAACGCATAGAGACCGTAATCCTCTTTCTCCTACAGCCCCCAAAGACACGAGGTCTGTGCCCACACACTCACTCACTACATCTTGGGCTGTGAGACCCTGGTACAGGGAGCTGGTGGTGCCAGCCTCTGATGAGAGAAAGACAAGATAGGAGCACGCGAGCCAAGCCAACAGCCCCGCTACCTCGCTCGCTGGTTCTGTGTTCCTTTTGCTCTCAGACTCACTGTTTCTTCCACTTTCTCTTCTGTCAGCTTTCAGGTACGTACAAGTTCTGTGCTCCTCCCCAGCCCCACCTCCTCTCTGCCCTCCCCCAGCGGGCAGTGAGCCTAATCTGGGCTCCTGGCATTCTTTCCAGTGCCTGCCAAGCCTAATCCTGGCAGCAAACCAATGGGGCTGCTTGCAATGCTGGAGCCTTTGGCCAGCAGCAGTGAGCGGGGAGCAGGTGGCCGTCCTGTGAAGGTCTCGCGCCGGCAGCCAAGGGAGAAGTGAAACTTTCCGTCAGTCGGCAACAGGAAATGGTAGGAGATGATTTCACTACTCTATTAATGTGAAGACTGCCCGAGAATTGGAGAATAAAGTCCGACAGAAAACCCAGAGACCTGTGTTCCGTGAAACATTTTGCTTCCGTCCCCTCCTCACCCTGGTCCTGCTTTGTCTCACTCACACACACACACACACACACACACACACACACACACCCCTCCAGCCCACCTCAAAGAATGCTTTAACGTCCCCGTCGATGGGTGGTGTTAGACCTGTAGTTTGAAGGTCAACGCCATGATGGGAACCCCGGCCAGCTGCCCACGTGCTGCCCTTCCCTCTCTGCTTCTCTCCCTGGAGGCCCGTGGCACCGTCCTGAAGCACTCAGTTGCTGACCGTGAGGCTGGTGGTTTGAACAGACCTGGGGAGCCACTCCTGCAAGGATTACAGCCTGGGAACCCCGAGCGGGAGTTCTGCTCTCTCCAGAAGGGAGCTGAGAGCGCCCAACAGCCCCAGCTGGAGGGTCCAAAGAACAGGTGCTCTTCTTCCTCCTCGCCCAGTGAGCTACCCTTGGGCCGATGCACACAGCAATGGACCACCCAGAGGCAGACGATGCGGGCCAGCAAATGCTCGAAAAGAGAAACATCTATGTTAAGGCAAGTAAGCAATTACCGTATATACTCGAGGATAAGCCAACCTGAATATCAGCCGAGGCACCTGATTTTACCACAAAAACTGCATTTAAAGAATGTGTTGAAGGGGTCTTAAAGGCTTGAAGATAAACAAGCGGCCATCTGGCTCAGAAGCAACAAAGCCCACATGGAAGAAGCACACCAGCCTGTGTGATCACGAGGTGTCGAAGGGATCAGTTATCAGGCATCAAAGAAC